GCTGAGGGCCGGGCCTCGGACCAGAGCCCCCGCGGGCCGCTGGGCCCCGGCCCAGGCGTGGTGTTGTACCTGTGCCCCGAGGCGCAGTGCGGACAGACCTTCGCTAAGAAGCACCAGCTGAAGGTGCACCTGCTGACTCACAGCAGCAGCCAAGGCCAGAGGCCCTTCAAGTGCCCCCTGGGCGGCTGCGGCTGGACCTTCACGACATCTTACAAGCTCAAGAGACACCTGCAGTCCCACGACAAGCTGCGGCCGTTCAGCTGCCCGGTGGAAGGCTGTGGCAAGAGCTTCACCACCGTGTACAACCTCAAGGCTCACATGAAGGGCCACGAGCAGGAGAACTCCTTCAAATGTGAGGTGTGTGAGGAGAGCTTCCCCACGCAGGCCAAGCTCAGCACCCACCAGCGCAGCCACTTCGAACCAGAGAGACCCTACCAGTGTGCGTTTTCCGGCTGCAAGAAGACGTTTATCACAGTGAGTGCCCTGTTTTCCCATAACCGTGCCCATTTCAGGGAACAGGAACTCTTTGCCTGCTCTTTCCCTGGCTGCAGCAAACAGTATGACAAGGCCTGCAGGCTAAAAATTCACCTGCGGAGCCACACGGGCGAGAGACCTTTCCTGTGTGACTTTGATGGCTGCGGCTGGAACTTCACCAGCATGTCTAAACTCTTAAGGCACAAAAGGAAGCACGAGGATGACCGCAGGTTCACGTGCCCTGTGGAAGGCTGTGGGAAATCTTTCACAAGGGCTGAACATCTGAAAGGCCACAGCATAACCCACCTGGGCACAAAACCTTTTGTGTGTCCTGTGGAAGGCTGCTGTGCCAGGTTCTCCGCTCGAAGTAGTCTCTACATTCACTCCAAGAAACACCTGCAGGATGTGGACACTTGGAAAAGCCGTTGCCCTGTCTCCACCTGTAATAAACTCTTCACATCCAAACACAGCATGAAGACCCACATGGCTAAACGGCACAACCTGGGCCATGATCTTTTAGCTCAACTAGAAGCTGCAAATTCCCTTACGCCCAGCAGTGAACTTACCAGCCAGGGACAGAACGATCTCAGTGAGGCAGAGATCGTGTCTCTCTTCTCTGACGTGCCTGGCAATAGTTCGGCTGCGGTGCTGGACACCGCACTGGTGAATTCGGGAATCTTGACTATTGATGTGGCTTCGGTGAGCTCAACTCTGGCAGGGAATCTCCCAGCCGGTAACAGTAATCCCTTGGGGCAGGCTCTGGACCCCCGGGCCTTGATGGCCACCAGTGACCTTCCTCAAAGTCTGGACACCTCTCTCTTTTTTGGAACAGCAGCCACTGGCCTTCAGCAGGGCCCCTTAGATACGGATGATGTCTGCAGTGTAAGTGTGGGGCCGTTGAGATCTCTAGGCTCTTTGGCTGTGAAAAACTCCAGTCCAGAGCCCCAGCCCCAGGCTTTGACACCCAGCAATAAGCTAACGGTGGACACAGAAGCTCTGACTCCTTCGAGTACCCTTTGTGAAAACAGTGTCTCAGAGCTACTGACACCCACCAAATCGGATTGGAATGTACACCCTGACTCTGACTTCTTTGGACAGGAGGAAGAAACCCAGTTTGGTTTCTCCAATGCAGCAAGAAACCATGGTTCTCAGAAAGAAACAGATCTTGTCGCAGTGACTGGCAGGTCATTTTTGGTATGAACCAACTCTTATTTGTTCCTTGCCACGTGGCTTATTTTTATTACACTCAATTTTGAGGGTACTCGGGACCGAATGCTTAGACGCAGTCATTTCCTACTGGTTTGCAAAAGAACGCATCCCTGGACTACAAGTTTGGAGATTTAAATTCTGATCTTGAGTCTGGAAATGGCAAGTTCTGTGACCCTGAACAAGTCAATTAACCTCTCTGAGCCTTAATTTCTTTAGGTATAAAATGAAGTAGTTTGAATCCATTGTTTCTAAGGTCTCTTCTGCTCTGT